TCAGGGACAATGGTAGCACCTCTGGGATAACATAGTTAAGAAGGGGAAAATAAAACCTGCTGCACAACTGCAACTGCAGCCCGAGAGAGAAGTGAGAACATGTGAGAGAAACAGCCCTGCAGCCACCAAGGTCAGTGAGGAAGGAGGGGAGGAGGTGCTCCAGGCGCCGGAGCAGAGATTCCCCTGCGGCCCGTGGTGAAGACCATGGTGAGGCAGGCTGTCCCCCTGCAGCCCATGGAGGTCCACGGTGGAGCAGATATCCACCTGCAGCCCGTGGAGGACCCCACACCGGAGCAGGTAGATGCCCGAAGGAGCCTGTCACCCCGTGGGAAGCCTGCGCTGGAGCAGGCTTCTGGCAGGACCTGTGGACCCGTGGGGGACCCACGCTGGAGCAGTCTGTTCCTGAAGGAATGCACTCCGTGGGAAGGGCCCACATTGGAGCAGTTCGTGAAGAACTGTAGCCCATGGGAAGGACTCACGTTGGAGAAGTTCGTGGAGGACTGTCTCCCATGGGAGGGACCCCACGCTGGAGCACGGGAAGAGCCTGAGGAGTCCTCCCCCTGAGGAGGAAGAAGCGGCAGAGATGATGTGTGATGATGTCGTGATTTAACCCCAGTCAGCAACTAAACCCCACGCAGCCACTCGCTCACACCCCCTGCTCCGGTGGGATGGGGGAGAGAATCGAGAGGCACGAGTAGGAAAACGCATGGGTTGAGATAAAAAAAGTTTAACAATTGAAATACAACAAAGTAGAACAGTAATAATAACAATGATAACAACAATAATAGAATATACAAAGCACAATGCAACTGCTCACCACCCATCAACCAACGCCTCAGACGTGAAAGCCCTCCACCTAGTTTTTATATTGAGCATGATGGGGTTCCCCATTGGCCACACCTGGCATCCAGCCGGGGTCAACCCACCACACTGCTATAGCACAATGGTCATGTTTTTACATCTGTGGCTCGGATTGCAAGCTTACTTCATTTCATCAAGACAAAACCAGTGAAGGACAGAGATATGAGTTATGGTTCTTCTCACATATGAGTAATCTTGTACAAAGAACAGCTTTTTCTAGGATTGCATGGATTTCTCCCATTTAACTAGGGTGGAGGCTGCAGGATTTTTGCATGGATGCAAAGATCTACAGATTGTCCATTATTTGGTCTGCTAGAGTGACTATATGAAATACTGGAAAGTGTACTTTCTGATTTTATATAAAGCTATAGTAATCAAATTATTCAGACGCCCTAGAAACATTGGGCATTGATTCACGCTTCCAATATTTCCTAACTACTGTGTTTGACATACATAGGTTACTGCTACTTTGGAAATGCTGGGATACAATCACATCACAGAAAAAGAAATACTTGACAAAGACTCGTAACATAAGGTAATTTCTATCTTTATGAAAGATCAAAGAGGCTATCCAGGATAATATAACTGTAGCACCTACATCTCTCCTATCTACAACTCCACATTAGTCTGTGTCTCTACTGGCTTGTGAAATTACGCTGTTGTAATGGAGCTCCAAGTGAGTATTTGCCTAATACCATACCCCATATGAGAAGCAGTCCTGACCTGACAGACACCCTCTGAATGAGCTAGACAACACAATTTGTTCTAATTTGATAGTCTGAGTCATCAATATTTTACCACCTCTTGTCATTTTCCTTGGTGCTTTCATTACAGCGGTAAGAAATAATAAGAGAATTCGCAAACATGGGAACCAATGCACTTGAAGTCTAATGAATAAAATGTTTGCTTTATATTTCAAAGGCATCTACGTCTATTATAACTGCATTTTTATTAAATCCAATTAAAATGGGAGATATTTTAAAGTAAAGACTGAGTAAAAATTTGAAGTGAGACTAGATGGCATGTTCCCTACAGCCTTTTACTAGCAGATTAGTTGTGCACTTTAACAACAATGTATACTTAGACATAAGTACAAACCTTATTTATAATGCCTATTTACCTCCATAAATCCTATTAGACTTTGATACTGAGCAAAATTAGCAGATGTTCACAGTATTGCTATTAAAATTTTTAATCTGGATGTGCATCTCAATCTTGAATAAGAAAAATTATTCAATTTTTAAAACTTTTCTTATAATTCTTTAGAATCACTATCTGGGGAATGTAAGAAGAACTGGATGGGAATGAGTGATTTTATACTAACCTTCCTTGGTTGTATTATTTAATTTAAATACAAAAGGCACCTACATACTTGCTGTTACCATTCTGAAACTTACAGTCCCCATAGGAATAATCAGACAGCAGTATGTCAATATACAAAACTACCTTTCTACCCCCCTGAAACCTCATAATTTATACAACACTATCAAAGAAATGGTTTCACATTTCACACATATTCAAGAAGGTAAGTGTGACTTCTTCCAGTGTAATATCATCTGTCACTGATCAAGTCATTCAAACAGACCTCAAATACCTCTAGACACCTTCTCAAGACATGGTCATTTGTCATTCTTCTTCATGGGCTCTTTGTCAGTTTGTGATCTCCATCATCATACATCTGTAAATACTGTGAGAAGGAACGTAATTTTCTGTAGTTTTAGAAATATCTAAGGTTTTCTGATGAAGACTATGAGGTGGTTTAATACAGAGGCAGTCAACCTAAGCAGGCATGCAGCTTAGCAGGGCAATGCAGCCAGCCCACACGTGGGATTATTTGTCCTGGGACTGTCCTGCGGCTGCGCCGGACGCTGGACACACTGCCTCTTTTCAAGGTGCTATCTTTGGTGGATGAGGTGAGAGCGGGCAAACTGCATTGCTGGGTACCATCAAAATAAATGCACCGCAGGGAGGAGTTAACTGTAAGGTAAATATATTCCCCAGGTCGTCACCCTGCCCATGCACAACAGTCCAGCAGCATGACAAGAAAAGGAGTTGAGAAAAGGGGTCGTGGCACCGAGTACCATTTTTTTCCTAAATCCTAACACATTAACTATGTTTTTTCATCCATTGATTTGAGCACATGATTAAAAACCCAAATCACATTTGCCTAACCTGATTTTTTTCCCCTTTATGTTAACTAATGAAATGTATGTTCAGTGCTCTGTTCTCTTCCTAAGCTCTTTGCATGTAACAACACGGTAAATCCACATTAGAAAGCAACTTATGCTTCTTAAGTAACAAATAAAACCCAGAAGCAAAACAAAAACTGATACCAGAAGGATGCCAGCAAATTGATGGAAAACCTTGAAAAGTGATAAAAGGAATTATGGCATTTAAATAATGAGGGAGGAAAAAAAAAAACAACCATATGTGCAAACTTAGCACTTGGCAAAATGATTATTAAGGAGGAATATAACTACTCCAAGAGCCCTGACACCAAGAAGCAGTTTAACCACGCGTCTCTGACACTATCCCCTGTGCCAGCTGAGTCTGATGGGTGGCTGACAGACACTACCCTGCTTCTTCCTTGTTAACATAGTGATTTTTTTTTCTCATTTTATCCAAGATTTGCCTGAAGCGAACAAACTTCTTCTTATGTCTTACAGACAGGTAGGGGTAATACAGCTTCTACAGTACATTCATCATCTTCTTCTGCATGGGGGTGGGGAAAAAAGCCTCCGCACTGCCTAAATTTGGGATCAGTGAATAGTTTCAGAATCCGCTTGCTGCATTTGCGGGTGACCTGGCAACCTCTAAAAGGAGATGCCCTATGAAATGAAAATGTGGATGTATAATTGTGTCTCGTTCCTTCCATAGGACTTGTCAATGTTTTCTCATAGCAGATCTGTATAAAAGGGGGCTTGGATTTCATCAAGATAATTATATGGAGCACATACCAGTATGTTACTGAGATTTCATGCAGGCGACAAGACTCCTGAATAACAAATTAGCTGCTCTTTTCCTGAGTTAGGTCTGAAAAACTAATTTGATAATAAAATTTGCCGTAAGAACATGTGGCTTTAAAAGAGTTTGAAAGATGTATGCAGGGGCTGGGTTCTGCCTTAAATACCATTCTGGTTCTGAATAGGTCACCAAAATATTTTTGCTATTTAGGATAGTGCACTATGCTTATTTTTCTTGCTGTGTAATTTTGCAAAGAACACAATTATTGAGCTGAACAATTAATCCTGTCTATCTAGCTCATTAAAGATTGACTCAGGTATTGAATACTATATACTTAATCCCATGTGATTTATAAAAACACCAGCATAGCTGACAGTTTTCTTTCTGATAGTTTCCTCTAAATAGAAATGGAAATAGTCACATTAACACAGCTGGGACCAGAGCCATGCTCGTGTTTCTAGGCTGTGCTACCAGGATTAATAAATGTCATTTGAAGTATTGCTTAATAATGAAGCAAGCAGGTTGTCCAGTAAACATCAGTTAATATTTACTCATTTGTACATTCAAGACAAATTAGATCTTTGCAACTTCCAGATAATCTTTCAAACAACCAAGTATCTATACAAGGGGTGTTGTATCGGTTAATTCCTTGTTTCCTTGACCATCCTTCTGCCATTCACAATGTGTCAATATTAGATCACAGCCAGGCACCAACCTGGAGCAAACCAAGTAGTTCCCCCCAAAAAATGGAAAAGCCCAGAGGGTCACACTGGGATTCAAACATCACAGCCCAACACAAGAGAGTCTGAACAGACGAGGCCATGGCCCACGCCATGGCCTGCATTAGAAAGCTGGGAGAGGGATACCCTCCGAACTTCTTTGTAAATGTTCATTCTCTCCTAACCCTGCACTGTGTTTCACTACCAGTTCTCCCAACCTGTTCTTCTTCAGGTCCCAACTCTATCGTAAACTCCGGTTTATATCCATTCAAAACATACTCGACTTTTAGGATTGAGGATGTTTATAATCTCACAGTAAGCAATCACAGAGTTTACAGTAAATCCTTTCAGGCATGGATTGGATTGTAAAATATGCCTGTGAAGTTTCCAGGACCATGAAGTAACATGCCCAGTGCTAACGCCCTCCTCACGGGAACAGCTGTCACAAACACTTACCTTTGCAAACAAAGCACTTAATATGGAAATATTTGTTCTGAACTCTCAAAACTTCTCCTTTGCATGGGTTTCCACAGTTATTGCAGAGAATTGCAGTACTTGATGGCTTCTCCAGTTGGCTATGTACAGCCTGTGGTTGTGAAACTGCAAGGGAAAACAAAAGGTAGAGCATTTTAAAGGCCATCAGATGCACCTTCTGTAAGACCTACAAATAATGACAGTCAACACCTAGGACAAAACAGGTCAAGCAGATAAAAGAGTTTTAACTGCTGGTATTGGCCAGCACAGGAGAAAAGATCTGCTAAAGGAGCTGAGCCAAGCTTCTCATTTCATAACCTTCAAAGCTCACGCCTGCAAACATTTCAAACATAAATCAGAATTTCTTATAGAGGAAAGAATCCACATGATCAAGTCTTGAGAGCCTCCACCTGAATTTCAAAAAAATGCGTTGTTGCATTTTCTCTTCAAGAATTCAAAGACTATAGATAAAAGCTATTCTTTTTATACAAAATACCTTTAATTGGGTTTAGTAACTATTACACTGTGAGCCACTGATCCTTAAAGTTCAAGGTAATTGCCTTTTTAATTGATTTTAAGATAGAAATACACTTCTGTAGATGTTTTGAGTTCATACTTCTGAAACATTGACATCTCTGTAAATACCAATACATCTGATCATTAAAAAAAGGTTGATGTCATTTTCTAAGAAAACCATGATTTCAAGATATTAGGTTTATCTAGGTTAGTAAAATATTAAGTGAATTAAAAATTTGCTGCCATCTTGTGATGTAAATTAGAAATTGCATTTATTGGGCTGTTGATAATAACAATATAAATTGGCATCCCAATGTGTTATGTGGAACAGATGAGATATGACCTTATTCTTGCAATTCTGCTGCAGTACTTGCATCAATTTTTTATCGCAGTGTACTTAGGAGTCTAGAGAGCAAACATCAAGGCAGTTAATTATAAGGGGGCTGTACTATAACTCAATACACTTGGCTTTTTTCCCATGTGAAGAAGAGCTAATAACGGGAAAATATATCAAGCATTTTAAGTAAATTACATACTTAATGACATTCTTCTTCTTTAACGTGGCATGCTTATTCTAAGGTTAGATTGCTTATTTCAAAGTGATGGAATTTTTTTTAATTTTAGCTTAAAAATAAACTTACCAACCGACCAGTCAAGATGGAACAATCTCTCATAGGTCAATACACTAAGTATAAATGGGAATCAGATGCGTTTCCCTTCAGGGTTTAGTCAAGGGATAATGCCACAGCTGTGTAACCCTTTTCTTTCATCAGCATTCAAAAAAAATTGGGAAGTAATTTTTTATATGAGACTGCTGCAACATGATTAATCAATTTATAAGAGGCTAGATTAAACTCAGGTTGGCTGAGATCTTTAGTTTCTATTCCTACTGTAATATCAGAGTTGCTATTTCAGAAAAAAGGCTTCTGAAAGAAAAAAAGATGGGAAAAAACCCACACAAAATTGATTTTAATTAAAAAAAAAAAAAAGAAGAAGAAACCCAGTAATGTCTACACCTTCACCATAGGTAGGGATGATATAGAGAGGCAGTGATGGTACTGTCACTATGAACACATATGATAACAGATGACACCAAAATCAGTAAGTGAGCATCGTCCAGCTTTTATTCTCTAATATCCAACCTTGCTGCTCTTCCTCCTCTATTCTCACCCCATCTCCACCGCCGGCACCTTGTGGTGATACATAAAAGACCTTTCCACATCCACCGACTTTAAGGAGTTGGTATTTCAATAAGATGCTGAGCCTCCCACCCTGTCTTCCAGGGGAGTTTTTGCAAGTTTTGCCCAAACCAGCACTTTCTACTCCTGTAAGTAAAGTGGTTTGGCTTTTTTTTTCCCAAGGAGATACATGGGATTGAGCTGCCCGTAGTGTTATTCACCACCCATTAGCATTCTGCCTTGTCTGCTGAAATTATGCATCCTGGGATTGTCAAAAAAGTCCTGCTCAAGGCAATGTGAACTCTGGAGCTATTACTGAAGCCCTGGCTATAATTAAGTACCTCTCCAATAAAAACAACACAGCACGACAGGCAATTAGAAGTTTATGGAAAGGCAGATGCTCAAATTTACACAGGGCAAATGGCGCACACAGTTCAAGCTCATATGAACATCTGCCTTATTCCTCAAAAGAAAACGGAGAAAACTCTGAACTTTGCAATACTTCACTTTTGACATGAGAATTTACTGTAACCTGCCCAAAACAAACTGCCAACCCTGAAAAAGAATCAACCCCGTAAGAAACCAAACCACAGTATTATCCTCAGTTACTTAGTAGAGTAGCTGCTAAAAGTTCATAACTATAGATGAAGAAGGTTTGCTCCCTCCAGAATTACTAACAAGCATCAAATTTGTAGCATTTAATTCGTGGAAGACTTGACTTTAAAAGAGCTGACCACACCCAGAACATTTTGGCCTAAAAAGTTACATTTGAAATATAAAATTCTGATTGGAATGATTAAACATCTGACTTTTTTTCCCCATGCGTGACTTCCCTTGGCTAAGGCTTTCCGAGCAGCATCTCTCCAGAGGCACCAGCGCCTGGCCGGTGCGGAGGCTCGCAGACGGCTGTGATCTCGTGCCATGGTGTCCCGTGGGCAGGCAGTAACCTGGCCAAGGAGTCCCAGCCGCAGTGCAGAGCACGTGCTGGAGGGACCCAGATGCACCGCCGGAGAGCCCCAAGGGCAGCCCTCCAAACCAAACATACTCCCTTTCCTAAAAGTGAAAATATTGTCACATTTCCAGAGAAAACTTCATTTTTCTGTTTGTTTTCTTGCACCTGGGAGTTCAACGCCGCACTTGTTGCAAAGCAGCAGAAAATTGAAAATTGTTACAAATTTGTTTTGTGAATTGTGAAACGATTGTGAAAATTGTTGCAAACTGAAAATTGTTGCAAAGTGACAGAAAACAGAAGGTTTTGCTTTCCACATTGCATGTGGTGCTCAGTGTCCAGAGCTACAGGTCAGGACTATTTAGCGCATTTGCTTCTCTTCAGGTCTCCGGATCAAGATTTAGAATTTAAAAAAACCCAACAACTCAGCTACAAAATAAATTAAAAAGGAAAAGATGTAGTATTTCTGTTGGAATTCTTCCATTAATCTTGAAGTAACACAAATCATATTTAGAATATGCATGGTAGACAGATGAATAATTATTTTGCTTTCCTCTCAGTTCAGAACTAAGCTAATTAACATTTCACATAAAACCCCAGTGGGAATACAGTGCCTTTGGGCTCATTATAAAACTGTGCTTCTGAAGACAGTTTTAAATATTTATTCATTCATCTAGCACAACAAAACGATGTAATTAATGATGTATTAGTTTAAGTTTGAATATTTTAAAATATATTGTGCTTTATGTTGAAATTGCAACTAGTGATACAATTTTGGTAAACTAACTATACTAGTCAACCTAAAATTTTAACTTACGTTTCAAATCATTTTTAAGGAAATACATTTACGTGGCAATTTTCAGCATTCTACTTTTATGCCTTTATGTATCAAAATTGGTCTTTGAAGCAGCAGAAGATACAGTTAACATATTTAATGAGTGAAATAGTGAATTACTGATAGAATGTAATGATCTGAGACTACTCATAGCACCATAACCAAAGAGCTCATTAAAAATTAAATGCTTACATTATACCCTGATCTGCAGAATTTAACGAAACAAGAAATTTCCTTCTTAACTTTAAATGACTTTTTCTGAACAGAAATACAAATGAATGCCTGATTCTCCAAACTTCCCTTTCTCCCAGACTGCATTTTGCTCTACCACAGGTATCTCCACCAATCCTTAAACCCTGAGAAGATCTGACTGCACATACTTTTTGACAAGGACAAAAACTGGCAAGAAAGGAACTAGCAATCCCTTTCCCCAGCACTTCATCAGCATACAAGACCTCTCTGCTGGGGACATCACTGCCAATAATCTTGCCAAATGTCCAGTGCTCACATATTTCTGATGTCAAGACTCAACCTCTCTCCAACAGGCTATGCACTACATAATTCCTTAGTTCTGGATAAAGTAGGACTTATTGAATCAGCAGTGGTTTGTTAAACAAATTGTCACATAAGATACATTCCTCAGATTTACTTCTACACTGCTTGCTTGAGACATATGCATTTGCTGGAAGTATCATAGGGAAGTGAGGACAGTGGTATTGCTCGTTATCAACGTGGCAACTATAAAATGATGTTTTCACTGTGCTTGTAACTTTGCCAACTTTCAACTGTTTATATTGACATTCCTCATGTTTGGTGTTCTTGAGCTCATTTCTTTAGGGAAAATTTCAGACAAACTGTGTAAGCTTTTTATAAAGGTGGAAAAAAAGAATAGGTTAAAATATATTGGTTTTCAATGTTAAAAAGAAAGCACAGCACCTTGTTTTTGGAAGTACTTTGGAGTAAAGGCTGAAGCCTGACAGAGATGGACTTTGTAAAAGGTACACTGGATCCACGAAAATCCACAATACGTGGTCAAAAAAATTCCCCTTTGAACAAACACAGCTCCTTCGGCATTGCTAGACTAAGTAGGATTTAACAGCAGTGGGGACCGGGACGAGGTGCCAGGGTTGAGGACGAGATGTGGCCGAGACAAGAGTGTTTTGGGAACAGCACAAGACAAGTTGATGGCGGTGGCAGAAGATTCGTGAGTCCCTGGTCATGCTCCACTCTGGAGCCTGGGACGGGGAATGTCACCGCGCTCTCGTCATCTTCTCTCTGCTGTGAGCAAACCTCTAAGGGAAATCAAACCCTTGGCAAAATGTCCCGTCTAGGACCGGTCCATGCAGAGGATGACAAACCCCTTTGCTATCAGGCTTCAGGTAGCCAAATGAGAAAAATCTTCATGGTCCATTACAGACCAGATGAAGAAACATATGGCCAGAAACTGCAGAATTCGACGCAGTTCAAATGCTTTTTCCAGTTTGATGCCTTTTGGTTTAACTTAGCATAAAGACCCACAGAAGCCGTTACTGAGCTTAGAAATCAAGTACTGAAAAGCTAAGAAGTCTCATGCTTAAGAATATACATTCAATCTTGGATCAAACCTCAAATATGAAGCTTAAAGACCTTCACCTGCTTTGTTCAACATATGGACAGAAAAAAGGCCACATACGACATTTACTCCACATTATTTAACCCTGTTCTGAAAAAACAGTTTATTAGATTTACTGCTCTTGGTGATTACAGAAGCCTGAAATGACAAAGGGCCAAATGACACAATTTAATATTAGAATCTTAGAATCATAGAATGGTTTGGGTTGGAAGGAACCTTAAAGATCATGTAGTTCCAACTCCCCTGCCACAGGCAGGGGCAACTTTCCATA